AAGTTGTTACGGTTTTGTGCAAACAACGGATCGTCCATGATTAATACCTTCTTCAAGCATCATAGAGTGCATCAGTATACCTGGCACAGGGATGCCAGTGCACAGAAGTCGATGATCGATTTGATAATCGTATCGTCTGACCTAAGACTCGTTCGTGTTAAGAAAGGCGCAGAGCTATCAACCGATCATCACATTGTTGTTGGCATGCTGCGCTTTAAGAAATGGAGTACCATAGGAAGATCCGGTGGCAGAAACAACCGGAGAATCAAATGGGAAACATTGTCCTCAGTGGACACGAGAGCAAAATTTGCAAACAACATCGCACCACGGTTTGAACAGATACCAGTGATGACAACTGATGTTGAAACCGAGTGGCAGCTCTTTAAGAGCGACTTACTCGACGCTGCCGCCGAATTCTGCGGATATAAACAGATTGGTCTGCCGTTTGGAGGTGATAAAAGATCTTCGTGGTGGACAAGAGAGGTACAACTGGCACTTAAAGAGAAGAAAGCAGCTTTCAAGAAATGATTCGGAAACAAAGAGCCTTCTACTCGCGTGCTATATGATGACGCACGCAAGGCGGCAGCGAAAACAATGGCGAAAGCCAAAGCTGATTCCGGGGAGAAGCTCGGTGAGGTGTTGGAGTCGAATTTCAAAACCGAAAATAAGCTATTCTGGCAGACCATCCGTCGGTTCCGAGGTGAAAAGAAGGGCAATCTAAGAGTCTTGAAGGGCAGGTCTGGACACTCTCACGAAGGATAGCGACATTCTTCGGCGATGGAGAGGGTACTTTGAGTAGCTCCTCAAACCCGAGCAACTGCAGGATGACTCGCCTATAGAGCAGGGGGTAACGTATATTACTATCTCTGTAGATGAAGTTACAGAAGCTGTGTTAAATAAAATTTGGGCTTACTTCACCTACATGATGTGCCTAGCGTTTTTGAAACAAAGTAATGGCAATTATGGATTCTGATATGGAAGCGCACACCTAGTGGCGTATAATGAATATATAGTTGTTTTACGGAGTGGATGGACGGTACCTGTTTCGCGCAATGAAGTTCATTAACCTAGATGTAGCAAGTTGTTATCGTGAGATGCATATGTTAATTTGTTATGGTAGGTTGCGATCTTCCGAATGAAATTTCGATTAAAATGTAATTTTTCAGCTGTTTTGCAACATAAAAGGAATAAATAAATGAAATTTGTAACTTCTATTGATGTTATTATCGTTTTAGAGGTTGAAGAAGTCGATAAGTACATTTACTTGGGTCTAGAAATCAACATGCAACATGATGAGACAGGAAAGCTTACCGAATGAAGTCCGTTTACGCACGCTTCATTCCATCAAGGACGTTCCTTTTTGGCAATATTAGGAAAGAAACTAACACCAATATATTCAAATGTACCGTTTTAATGACAATTTAATGTGTCTGTGAGACATGGTCATTCACTTAAGCCCAAGAGCGCCACCTACCTGTCACAGGGAGAGTCACGAAAAAAATGTTGGAAATTTCGTGGCGGGACCAAATATCCAACATGGTGATTAAACAGTCGACGAGAGGGATGACATTGCTCTAAAAAGCGGATGAAGAAACTACAGTTGGCTGTTCATGTTGCTCGGTTCATAGAGGGGCGATGGTAAGCGATGATCCTCGACTGGCAACCTTTA